ACTTTATTTTCTTTATTTTCATGTGGTGTTGAGAATTGAACACAGTGCCTCATACATGCTAGGCAAATGCTCTACCACTGAGCTACAGCCCTAGCCCTGTATTTATATTTAAAACTCTTTAAACCAGCCTGTTACTTTAAGCTTTTTTCACATTATCATATTTTGTTAGAAGGATCTTTTAAAAACATCTCTACCTGTATCATTCCAGCATATAAAAACATTCTGTGCTTCTCTGTTTTCTAACTGATGAATTCCAAATTACTTAACTTGACATCCAGGGCTTTCCAGAAGCTAGCCACTTTTATATCTCAAAATCTTTTCCCATAATTTTGGACAGCTATTGACAGAGCATATATTACTTCATCTCATTTGTAGTTTTGACCCAGGCTGCCCTTTCGCCTAAAATGTTTTCCTTTATATTTTAACTTTTTTCTATTTTTTTCCTTCACTGACTTTTCTCCATCATAGTTACTTTCCTTCTGAAAAGTTGATATTTAAATATTAGTACCTATTTATCTGCTCACCTGTGTGTAGATAAATAGGTGTTATTGCCCGTGCGCTATTGCCATTCCCTTTAATTTTTAATTTCCAGAAACTGTCCAATCAGGGAGAAAGCACAGGAGGAAAAATTAATATGTTTTTATGTATTGTGAATAGTTTTTTTTTTTAACTTTCTTGTTATTTTGTACATGGTAAAACAAAAAAATCAATAATTTAGATCACTTTTCAAATATCTTTTTAAAATTGTTATCCAAATATTTATATCATAGCTGTTTATTATAGATACTGGACTCATTTCTCTTCAAACTAAAGTCCTCTTTTGCTCAGTGCTTGTTAGAAGACCTTAAGCTCCCTGAATGAATGAATTTTATATTGGATTTGTTTATTGTTTCTCTAGCATTGTATCTAGCATGGTGTTCATTGCATGGTAGCACATATTAGTGTTTTTTTTTTTTTTTAATTTTTAAGATTTATTCTTTTTTTTTTTTTTTAAAGAGAGAGAGAGAATTTTTAATATTTATTTTTCAGTTTTCGGCAGACACAACATCCCCGTTTGTATGTGGTGCTGAGGATCGAACCCGGGCTGCACGCATGCCAGGCGAGCGCGCTACCACTTGATCCACATCCCCAGCCCCACATATTAGTTATTGAATACATATTTGTAACATGAGTTAATGAAGACTAGACTGAAAAATACCTATTAAATTTTTTTATTTGTTCTTTTTAGGTATACATGAAACATACACATACATGGAGTATAACTTATTCTAATTAGAATCCCATTTTTTTTTAATATTTATTTTTGAGTTGTAGCTGGACACAATACCTTTATTTATTTATTTTAAAGTGGTGCTTAAGATCGAACCCAGGGTCTTGCATGTGCTAGGTGAGTGCTCTACTGCTGAGCCACAACCCCAGCCCCATAGAATCCCATCCTTATAGTTGTACATAATGTGGAGTTTCACTGGTCGTGTATTCATATATCAACATAGAAAAGTTATGTCCAATTCATTCTACTGTCTTTTCTATTCCCATCCCCCCTTCCTTTCATTCCTCTTTGTCTAATCTAATCTTCCCTCTCCCTCCCTTATTGTGTGTTAACATCTATATATCAGAGAGAACATTCTACCTTTGATTTTGGGGATTGATTCATTTCACTTAGCATGATATTCTCTAGTTCCATCTATTTGAATAGAACTAGAACTGCCATGATTTCATTCTTTATCACTAATATTCCATTGTGTAAATGTACCACATTTTCTTTATCCATTCAGCTATTGAAGGACACATAGAATGGTTTCATATATTTTTATGTATTTTGTAATGTGGACTGAGCTCCACTGGTTAGCTATTGTGAATTGAGCTGCTATAAACATTGATGTGGCTGCATCACTATAGTAAGCTGATTTTAAGTCCTTTTGAATATAAACTAAGGAGTGGGATAACTGGGTCAAATGGTGATTCCATTCCAGGTTTTCTAGGGAATCTCCATACTGTTCTCCAGGGTGGTTGCACCAATTTGCATTCCCACCAGCAGTGTATGAGTGTACCTTTTCCCCTTCATCCTCACCAACATTTATTGTTACTTGTATTCTTGATGATTGCCATTCTGACTGGAGTAAGATGGAATCTTGGTGTAGTTTTAATTTGCATTTCTTTAATATCTAAAGATGTTAAACATTTTTTAGTCATTCATGAGAGATACATGACCCATAATTTTAGAATATTTATTATATAATAGGCTAATAAAAAATTTATAGCTTCAATAAAAAATATGTATTTTTCTCCAAAAGTCTTTATGAAAATTCAGGCTTTATGGTTGGCTTTGGCTACCTATTGCTGTATTACAAGTCATCCCAAAACTTGCCATCTTAAATTAGTGAGCATTTTTATGTATTTTGTAATGTGGATGAGCTCCACTGGTTATTTCTTCTATTGATTTTAACAAAGGTCATTGGTATGACCACATTCGGCTGGCAAGAACACTGGGCTGGGCTTCTTGCTCTTCCTATATAGTCTTAGAACCTATTTCTATGTGTCCTGTCCATCCTGGTGGTCAGACTTTCTTGCATGGTGACTCTGCTCTCTACAAGTATAATGGAAGCTGTCAGGCAGTTTTAATGCCTACACTCCATACTGGAATAGCATATCTTCTGTCATAATGTTTGCCAAAGCAAGTCACATGCCCAACCCAGATTGAAAAGGAAAGGACTGTATATATGTATATGTATTCTGAAAAGCATGGTTTACTTGGGGCCACCAACATAACAGACTTTGATAGGTGGTTTTCTTAGCTTTGGTTATTTGCTACTATTAATGTAACTGAACAGCATAGACATAGTTAGGAAAAATACTTGCATGTTAATAATCAGCTAGCACTTTTTAAAATTGTTTTTAAAATTTTATTTTAATTAGTTATATATGACAGCAGAATGCATTTCGGTTAATATTAACAAACAGCACAATTTTTCATGTCTCTGGTTGAACACAAAGTAGAGTCACACCATTTATGTTTTTATACATGTACTTAGGGTAATGATGTCCATCTCATTCCACCATCTTTCCTATCTTCATACCCTCCCATCCCCCTCCCTTCCCTTTGCCCTTTCTAAAGTTCATCTATTCCTCCCATGTTCCCCTCAGCTAGCATTTTTAAGTGTTAATTAAATTGCCTTTTGAAAGTTGTTCATGGACCTTTATTTATTTACTTATATGCGGTACTGAGAATTGAACCCAGTGCCTCACACATGCTAGGCAAGTGCTCTACTCTACCACTGAGCCACAACACCAGCCCCATAATATTCATATTCTTGGCAAATAACATTTTTTTCCCCAACTTGTTAGGGATGCTGTGCAAGATTTTCTTCATGAAATATACTTTTTGCCTGATCATCCAGAATTAAAAAAAATACAAGCAGTTCTCCAGGAATACAGAAAGGTATTTAATCTTCTATATATGCTTTGGAAGATACTAGCTACAAAATTATCCTACAATGTATTGAATAAAGATCCTTTAGATTCATATGTAGGGATAGTATAATAATATTCTGATGGCTAATTTCTGGTAGCTAAATAATGCTACCATGAATCCATGATTTCTTTAGGGAGGTTTTAGAATTTTAGGTCACAAACATAATAGCATTGGATAGATTAAACAGCAAATAATACAGTTTTTGTGCCTTTATTACCCAGGTCAGTATACCTTACTTACAGTCCCCAAAAGAAGCTGCCAAAGTTACATCCCCTTAAAGAAGAAAGAAAAAGCTTGTGGATGATTTTTTGTTTTGTTGTGCTATAAATCATGATACAGGGAAATGAGATACAAATGATTCTTGAGCTTTAGAAGGGGACCAATATTTAGTTCCAACACCTTAAAGTCTAGTGAGCCCTCTGAAATAATGAAAATGTTAATGGTGATGATATGGCTTTTTAGGGCAGAAAGTGGGATACTTGATTTTAGTTTCATCTTAAGTAGTAAAAGGAAGGAATTAAATTATCTATCTCATCCGTAGACCTGGGTTATACTGTAGTGCAGCCCTCCATAAGTAAGGAGAAGGTCATACTTCTTCTCAGGAAGCATTTATTTTAGATAAGTAAACTTTTATTGAGAATTTAAATCCGGGTCTAAAGACTTTAGAATAAAATCCTTTTCCCTGAGAAGTGCTAACAATGACATATACTTTGAAAGGAATAGATGGAAATTTTATTATTTGTTAAAGCTAATTTTTATTGGAGTATACTTTAACTAATGATAACCATATAGGGAATTCAGGCCTTCAGAAATGGTTATTAAGATAATTAATAAAGCATGTCTGTCTGTGCTCTATATGTAGGAAACTTCTGAAAGTACTGATCTTCAAACAACCCTTCAGCTATCCATGAAAGCAATTCAGCATGAAAATGTAGATGTTCGTATTCATGCTCTTACAAGCTTGAAGGAAACCTTGTATAAAAACCAGGTATGCTAAGGGCTAGGGATGTAACTCAAAGGTAGGATGTTTGCCTGACATGCACAAGGCCTTGTGTTGGCTCTCTAGCACTGAAAAAAAAAAAAAGGGAGGGGGATAGTATATACACACACACACACACGTATATATGCACATATATATGTATACATACATATATAATAAATAAGAAATGAAAATAATAAAATAAGGTATGCTGAGATATCAAAAAGATTTGAGACTCAGATTCAATGAAGGAAGTAAACTTGGGGGTGTGGGGACAGATGACCTTTATTGAACTCATCAGAGTGTAAATAATGTCTACACAAAACCAAATGTTTATTCCTATTACTTAAGCATGACAATATTAAAATCAAAACAACTTTTTAAAGACAGTTCAATCAAAACCCACTACTTCAGAATCAATAGCTTCTTTGAGGCCACAGTAACAACTTAAATATGGTTAAGACTTGAATGCAGAAATTTAGTTGGTTGGAAAGTTAATTAAACGTTCAACTTGCTAAGTAGAATTACATAAAGGCAAAATAGTGTTTTTCACAGAAATGTTGGAATCATTGACTCTGGACAGCTGATAAAGTATTTAGAATCCTGAGATGATAAGAAATCCAGGTATCCTTTAGACAGAGTCTCCTTTCTGTTGCCCTCTCTTCCCAGAGGTTTGTGGATGTGCGGGATAACACCACTACCAACAATTGTAGCCTTGATAAGTAACTCTAATTCTTCATTACCATGAATATAGTAAGTTGCAAGTAATAAGAGGTATTGCATTTTACCTTTTAAGTCTTCTGATGCATTTCCTGCTAGTTCATACACCTCTGCAGTGAAGTACCACTGGTTGGCTGCACTGTACACAGCAGCAGTCATGCCCACACATCCATGGCTGCTTGTCCTAGATTTCAGGCGATAATGAATATGCCCCACAGGGAACTGCAACCTGGAAACCACCTTTGTCTTGGCCTTTCGAAAGTGCTTCTCAGTCTTAACCACCAGCCATTTCGAATTCTGCTGAAGCCTAGACATTGCTGGCAGAGAAAAGTCTCATTAGACCCACAGTGAGATCCCACCACCTATTCCTTCATTGCACTGCAATTCAAACTGCTAAAAAGGAAGTAGATCATCAAATCCAACTGAGAAATCAGTAATTGATGAGTTGCCTTTTAACTTGAATCCCAGAGATTTACAAGATTATTGTTTTTAAAGGGTCATGATTTTATGGATATGTTTTGACTTACTGTATCTTCCTAAGTAAAGATTTATATGTTTGTATATCAGCAGTTTTGAGTCTTCTGGTATAATTTCCTATAGGTATCTGTCAAAATGTCAGCAGTTTTATCAGTTTACATTTTGAATGGAACAAACTGTTTGCTTTAACAAAGCTAATTTTTTTTTTATTCTGACATTTTAATTTTCTTTAAATACAAGGCACTTTTTTCAAGCAAAGAAACAGAATTAACAGATGTGGTCCTCCAGAGATCGAAGCCAAGTCTTGAGATCTTCAGCTGAATGACACTGTAGTATCAGGTGTTAGCAACAGAGTTATACACTCTAAATAGCAACCGCTTATCGTCATTTTTCATTAGGGAACAGCCAAAAGTCCAGTCTTTAAAGACGTGATATATAGAACATCTCGATCTACACAAAGGATAGAATAACTCAAATTATATGCAGGCCAGCCTATTAGAAAACATGATCAGATCTGGCCAAGGATTGATTATCAGAGACAGTGCTTATACTTTGAAAACTTACTCTGATTTTAAAAACTCCTGGTTCCTGTCACTAGGAAACAAAGTAAAAAATATTATAGGTGGATCCACACTAATATGTAATTTTTAAAAAATATTTATTTGTAGTTGTACGCAATAACTTTATTTATCTATCTATTTATTTAATTTTACGTGGTGCTGAAGATTGAACTCAAGGCCTTGCACGTGCTAGGTGAGCGCTCTACTGCTGAGCCATAATCCAACCCCTAATATGTAATTTTATAGAGGTCTTCCACCAGAATGTGAAGGTAGAGTTAAGATCTTTTGATATTTTAAAAACAAATTACTTAGTAACTAAGAAATTAAACATACCACACTCTTCTATTTGATAAAATAACAAATTGACAATGAAGACTATAAAAGAAATGCTCACTCTATAGGGGGAGGAAATAGTAACAATTTCTACTACAGAATAACCTGCTTTCCCAGACAAATAGCATTGCTATTCTTTCGTGATACAGATTCATATGGAAAAACTTGTTGAGTTTTGCCAAGGCCAGATGAAAAACAAAGTGTTTTCTAATAAGCTAATTAAGCTCAGTGAACATTTTTGGGATGGACCTATAAACTCTGGCCATTATTTGGTCAAAGATCCACAAACTGCATAATTCCTCAGCCCTTAGCTGTAAGTTTCTGCTCAATATCAAAACTGCGTTCAGTCACACTGTGACTTGTCTCAGGGCTGAAGTGTTATCAAAAATCTGGTATGTCATCATAGGAGTAACCCTGGTAGCCTTTAAATGAGTAGCAGGCAATGTGTAGATGATAAAATCCTGGCAAGAACACCAGAATGCCAGTGATCAGGACAGGAATGGGTCTGCCCCCGACCCGTCTTTCTGATGTAGCCTGACAGAAGGAAGGAGCCTGTGGTAATAAGAAAGGCGCCAATCAAAAACAGCACATTGGCAAGTGAAATGGCCTCATGAGGGATTTTAGGAGGGCTTTTCTTAAACTGATGGTCAATGTAGCCATTGTCTGTGCTGGAGAGCCTTGAGTATTTTACTTTACTGTTGGGGATTCCAGGAGCCAGATTAGTACTAAAGGGCATTATAACACACAGACACAGCTACAGTCCGAGCACCATGCCAAGACTGGGGCTAGCAGGGAACTCACCCAGACCTCATGGCACAGCCACCTAATTAGTAACACCCCAGCAAGCACCAGCCCGTTGCAGAAGTCCGAAGCTAAATTTTTAAGTTTACTTTTTCAAGGAGCCAGTGAATTTTATTCTTTTCCTTTGCAACAAATTCTAGATTATCCCTAATCTTGATGATAGTGTAAACATATTTAGAATACCAGATTGCTTATAAATAAAGAGAAAAAATTTAATCAGATTACATATTTTTGCACCTCAAGCATACAAGATGTGAAAGCCTAAGACCCTCATGATGCTGGCTAACAAAACTAGAGTGTTTTTTTCCATGATAGACATGGACAGAAGGTACATATGATGGTAGAGTACATGGCTCCTGGGGCAGTGAGCTTATAGAACCAATGTGAGTAGCAACTGACCTAGAGATGATCCCTCCAGATGTGAAGAGCTTAGAATCTCCTCCAGCTGAGATTTTATGCCCTCCCTACTATATACTTACATTATCAATGTTACAGCCTCAGTCCTGCCCTAAACAAAAATGAAACTGCCCTGTATTTGCCTCTTGCCCCAGACTTACACCTGGGTATCAGATAAGTTAGAGGGCTTCTAGTCTCTGACGTGACTTATGAATAAATAACAAAGGATCTGTCCCATTGGTATAGAGGTTTTCTAGTTTAGATTATTTCTAAGCAGATAGCATGGTCAAGGCCTAACATAAGGAGACATCATCTCAGTCATCACTTGTTAGATTTAAATCATTGAATTTAACAATGCAGTGTCATTTCTTGCACAGCTGCTTCATTTTCGCCACCTGTATCACAAAAAGATAAATTACATCTAGTATTTTCTACTTCAATGTAAAGATTCAGTGTAAAATAGGTAACCTAGGCAGAGTAAGAAGGGAAGTGTATTTGCAAGAGTCTTAGGTCAAATTGAGTACTCTGTATGAGATTTTGTGGCCACAGATTGTTATAGGATATTTTTTACAGTAAGGATTAATTTCATTTAGCATATATATCTAGCTGGATCAATTTACCGTAGGTAAGAAAGAAGAAACTGTTAGAGGCAAGGAGGACTTAAAGGACACATGAGGAGATAAAAAAGAACAAGAACTCAAAGACACACATCTTTCCAGCCGTATCCTAGCAGATATTCGCCCCAAACCAGCAAAATAGGTAAATGTCAAATAAAGAAAAAACACAGAAACCACAAATATTTAAATAAGAAATGACAAAGCCAGGTGCAGTGGTGCATACCTGTAATCCTAGCAGCATGAGAGGCTAAGCCAGGAGGATCACAAGTTCTAAGCCAGCCTCAGCAACTTAGTGAGGTTCTAAGCAACTTAGTCAAAAAATAAAAAGGCCTAGGGATGTAGTTTAGTAGTTAAGCACCCATGGGTTCAATCTCTGGTACCAAAAAAAAAAACAAAAACAAAAGCAAGAAAAATAAACTTCAAAACAAAGAAAGTATTTTAAAATATTACGAGAGACTACTGCATATTCTTGTATTTAAATAAATTTGTAAACATATATAATTTTGTCAAAACTGACTCCAATAAAAATAACTTAAAAAAACAAATCTCAGCAGGGGAAGCAAATAATATTATAAATGAACATTCAGGAGAAATAACCAGGCCCAGGAGTTTTGGGGGTATAGGGGATAGTTATCAAATCTTCCTGCCTTCTTCAGTATTAATAAAGTATTTCTTTAGTATTTTACATTATCTCCTCTATGGGCTTCTTATTGATACCTCCTTGTTTTATGTTATTAGTTGTTGACTTAGGACTGTGCTGCCATTGAGCTAGCCAAAAGTTGTATTAACACTTGAAATGTAACTTAAAGGAATTGAGATGTGCTGATGATTTATACATATTGGCTTTTGAAGAATTAGTATCAAAGGAAAGTAAAACACCTCACAGATATTTTTTTCATGTCAATTACATGTTGAAATGATCATCTTTTGAAAATACTGTATTAAATAAAAGGTGCTGAAATTTTTAAAAAACTAATTGAAAAGATTGCAGATAGAGAAATTTAATTTTTTCAGTATTTATGAGAGATATTTCTTAATATTTCTAAGCTTTATAGTTTAGGAAAACACTGGTTTGTTGGAGTTATATATAAACTTCCTTTTCATTTTTATTTTAGGAAAAACTGATAAAATATGCAACTGATAGTGAAACAGTGGAACCTGTTATCTCACAGTTGGTGACAGTGCTTTTGAAAGGTTGTCAAGATGCAAATTCTCAAGCTCGCCTACTCTGTGGGGAGTGTTTAGGGGAGTTAGGGGCAATAGATCCAGGTCGATTAGATTTCTCAACAACTGAAACCCAAGGAAAAGATTTTACATTTGTGGTAAGTAATCATAAAAATTTGGAATGACAAGATTTCTTTTGTATCTTTTGAGATATAGATATATATATATATATGGTATATTGCATATATATATATATATATATATATATATATATATATATATTACATTTAAGAAGCAAGTTATCTTTAGTGACAGCTTGATCAAAATAAGAAAATTTAGGTAATTTCTTAAGTCTGTTTTTTTTTTTTTTTGTTATTATTTTTTTAGTTGTTGATGACCTTTATTTTATTTATTTACACGATAATCAAACCCAGTGCCTCACATATACTAGGCAAGTGCACTAAGGCTGAGCCACAGCCCTAGCCCCCTTAGTCTGTTTCTTAATACTATTGTGGAACTCTTTAGCCTTAAGCAACTGAGCCTTATCAATCTAGTGCATTGTGTTCTTGCAAATAAAGCTTCCCTGGGTATTCTAATAGTATATCAAAAAGTTTTAGTAGCCAAATGAATTTGCAATCCTTGTAAAAGAAAATTAAATGGAACTTTCGATGTGTCAGTAAATCTCTAAGTGGAGGTTACATTGAAAGTATTTCTTGGAGTTTCTCAAGCGACTCTTGGACTCTGCAGAATGCAGTTAGCAGGTAGAGCTCAGTGGTAGAGTATATCCCTAGCATTCGCAAGACGCTGAGTTTGATCCCCAGCACTGGAAAAGAATGCAGTTAAGGGAGTGCTATTTATACATTTTGCTTTTTTAGGAGTTAAAAAATAATTGCAAATTGTCAGGACTATTCAGAAAACTGAATGATTTTAATACACTCTGAAAATAGCCTAGTAAAATAGCCTGAAG